GTGACCCGTGGTCCGGTTACCGTCGTTCTTGCGAGTTCGTTATAAGAGATAGACATAGCGTCGCGGACTTTGTTTAGATCGTTTTAAGAGAAATCATTCTTTCATACATATTTATTGGATCCATAGAGATGAAAGCTTTTCCCCGTTTTGTTCACATTTCCCTCTGTATCTTCGCTTCTATTAGTCACGGCGCAATGTTTTATAACCTATAATAGCCTTCCTCGATAAGTGCTTTAACTAACACAAAAATAATTTTTCAATTCAAATCCGTAGTTCCTGAGATAAGCGCGTTCAATCAAACAAACAGCTTTATATATTAGTATAGATATAGATTTATAAATGGTTGTAAAGTTTTATTTTATTCCCTATAATGAAGGAAACGTTCGCCCAAGTAGCACATCTAAATAAAACACACGGTTTAAAACGCGATAGGTATATATTAGTTAAAAAGTTACAAATAAAATTCGATAACTAATATATATCGCGTTTTAAACCGTTAAATTGTTATATTTATATAGTTTAAAAATTTTAATACAAGAGCACAGTGGCTGTTAACATAATTCTTACACAAATAATAGTACAAATTTATTTTCCACCTTATTGAAAATCATGTTTTTAGTTATTAGGCCACTCTGCCTTTAGCCTCCTATAGTCCTTTATTTCTGAAAATATCAACATTACAAAAAAGAAATCATCAAAGTTGGTTTATAAACGAAAAATAAATACGCGAGAAAAACATAATGACGAATCGAATTGAGAATCTATTCAAATCGGTTAAAAATGATTTAACAAATAAATAATCAGAATGTATCTAGTCAGATCGAAAATAGACAAACGGAAACGTATGACTCGTAAGTGCACCAAATGTAGCATATCATAAAGTTTACGTTACCGTATTTATTGTTTCGCCTATTCTTTCTCAGTTGTTTGGTTTTGTAGCTACGGTAGAAGTTGTAATGGGGAGTAATGAAAGCCAACTGCTGCTCTAATTCTAAACGCTTTTGTTAGACAAACATGTCTGTACCTACGAACAAATTAAAGGTATACTATACGAAATATATTTTACCTTCGTTACCATAAATGATTGGAAGATAACTTGCTAATGAAAGCGATAAGTGAAAGGAATATAGGAATGTTTTTTTAATGATAGAGAAGGCTTGGCAAGGTTCACTTGATGGTAGGTGATATCTTCAGCCTATAGCAAAATGTGCTGTTGGCCTATTATGGCCGTGGATAAATAAATATCATATTTCTTGTTATTAGGCCACTCTATCTAGCAGCCCCATATAATAAAATAAGTTTCAACTATGTGGTACTCACAATAATTAATTTAATAGCCAATCGTTTCAAATAATCACTTACCACTAAAATTAAAAAAAATCCACTCCAAATACCTTTCCACTAATTTTTTAACTAATTTGTTTATTACATAATTAAAACTCTTAAAGCTGGGAGCTAGGTATTAGGTGTTATTTCTGAGTCCATTCTCTGACTATCGTGGCTCCAGAAATTATATCGCTGACTGTTTACTATTGCAATTAAGTGCTTAATACACTAGGTGGCATATATTACAATGGTATGAGTTACGCAGCGGTCTTAGACGCTTGACTGCGGCCTTTGCACTTTGTATAAACAAGCAAGCGCTAAGCTCAAAGGAGAACTGTTTACCTAGCGATTGATTACAGAATCGCTACTGACACTATTATAGCAATGTCCGAACTAATTGCAGGCACAGGCCCGGAGTGACAAGAGACATCTATGTATGTTCCAAGTTAGTCCTTGTTCGTAGACTGCGTTAATCAATTACGAACATCTGGAATGTTTCGTCGTGGTATTATTTGTGTTCCAGATTTGTCAGCAGTATTCGCACTGCTGGAGGTATATTAGAAACACTTTAACGGTTTGAAACGCGATATATATTAGTTTCACTTGTTTGAGAGTTACTTAAACCACGGCTTGACGTTTCGGATGCTTTGCAGCAGCCGTGATCACGCCCCCCCCCCCCCCCACTCGTGAGGAGTTTCGCGAAAATAACTTTAAGTAATATATATCTCAGTGTTTTATTTAAATGTGTACTACTCTAGACAGTATTGTGTAGGTATCACATTTTTTGACCAGCTCGTTGTTGCAAACATCGATTATGTTAATTTCTTAAAATATTAACGAAAAGAATGGAATACTAAAAAATCTTTAGTAACCTCACATATGGACAATTTGCTATGGTTAAATTACATCTGTGAAATCCCGTTTCCTCACGTATCCTTACAATCGAGTGTATTTTAAGGCCAGTAGTTCTTGAATGTTCTTCTGACCAGGCACTATTTCTTACGTCTCTTCGTCATTCCCAGGATCTCCACCACTCAACGCAATTCAAGCTTGAGCCAGGAGGAATTTATCATTTTTTTGTTAGCCATAATTTATCGTTGTTTGTTTTGTTAATAGGCACTTTTATTTCTGTGCGGTTTTGTTCTTTTATTGGTACTTACTGATTTGTTTATTTCGTTTCCTACGTTCTTAACGAACGCATTCCGAGAAAAATCTACTTATAAGCTACCAGTTTTAAGAAATGTGTTAGATCCATATTCCACCGAAATAATAAAAAAATTGCTTGACATACATATAAGGTAATTTTCTTATAAAGAAAGAAGTGTTCTTCTTTTAAATGATCTTTAAAATTACTAACAAGAACCGTTTTTATAGGAATCAAACTTTGTCGAATACTTTATCAGCTTAATTCTATAATTTTGGTCATTATACCGACACATTACCTTCACTATTATAGTGCTAAATGTAACCATTTAACACAGCTGCATAATGAAATATATCTAACGAAATAGATCGAATTATTTTCAAATATAACTGAAGCAAAAATTCCTCACGGCTTTTCTTGAGTAAGTCGCGATGTAGTAAATATATAACTACCTACATATTCTCTAAACAGTCTCTAAATTGGTAACAGTTGTATTAAAATCTTTGTATAAGTATGGAAAATCTTCAAGAACCAAATATGTTAATTACATTTTTGTATTATTAATTAAGATTTGTTTCTAATAAGGTTTTTATTAAAATACATGTAAATATACATTTATTTCTGATGCTGTTAGATCCAGAGTGACCTAATAATAAAAAAAAACACTATTTTCCATGAGAAGAAAGGTAACAATACGCAAATAACTTGGGCGAAAATTAATTTATATCGGCTGTTCAGCCGATGTGAGAGAGAAGAGGTTCTCGACTAATTCTTCGAGCAATCGAGGAATTAACATCTCCTGATGACGCCGTGCACACGTGATGGCGAAACGTCGAGAACCTCTTCTCGCTCACATCGGCCGAACAGCCCGAAAGACAATGATATGATAAATATTATAGTCATAATACTGCAGTTAGGCTACTCTTGTTCTAGCAGCCTCATACTCTCCTTATTTGTAGACATTTATAAGAACGTCTATGCTGCGCGTATAAGACCATGCCATGTTTAAATATATTTAGTCTTATCTAATGCTTTTAGACTACATCAATCGTTATGGAGGGTTTCCTACATCATATGGCACCTCAGTTTCTCCACCCAGCCCTGCAAAGCTTCGGGTGCGGTGCGTTTCGTCCAATAGGGGGCGCCTTTCACCCTCTTTATCCTGGAAAAGCATTCGCCAGGCATCTTGGAGAGCAATATGCTCTTGGACAAAGTGTTGGACAAGCTCTCCGGGTACTAAGGATTTTTTTATTATTGTTTTTTTTTTGTATTATTGTGTGATAATAGTCTTAAATTTTGTGATATCAACCTTTAAACATAGAAGGCAAAAACAATAAATTCCTATTTTAAATCATCAGGAATTTAAAAATTGGAATGTTTTCACAAAGGTTAGGTTAGACACAATTCTATTTTTTTATCGTTTAGCCAAGTAGCTGTTGAGCCAATTGATAAAATTATCACGTCTCCCCGGGAATCGAACCCAGTTCTCCACTTGATTACCACAATGCGTTGTACATAGAACCAGGACGTTAAAATTATTAAACAAGATTTTATATTCGCTTCGTTTCTGAAGAGTGTTCGGGATGATACCAACACCCCACCGCTGTACCGGCACACATACACGGTGCGTGATGACACCAGCTCTCCTGGTTCTGCTGCTTCAGCGTCCCCAAGACCTTGCAAGGATGACGAGGCACCCGCCACAGCTCCATGCTCGGATTCTCATGACTTATTTTCGCGTAAGTACTGAAAACATAGCTTGAAATGATGAATGGTGGACTAAGGCTGGAATCGAACGTTTTAAGTGTCAACATGGTAATTGTCTTATTTAAGTCGCTATTTGAATACTAATATTATGTTAATTTTTTGAGACCTCTGGTAATTTTTGATTATAAAGGAGAAATCTAGATAAGGTTGAAAAAATCTAGTTAAACTGAACAAAGTTATGATTAATTTTTTTTGCCAATTGTATTAATAATATACAATTTAAATAAAACACCTTTACAGTTTAAAACGCGATATATAGATAGTTAAACATATTTGAAGATTATTTTAAATACGGCCCGACGTATTAATATATATTCCACTTTAAACCGTTACAGTATTTTATTTATTTATTTACCGGTCTGCCAGCGTTAAATTACATTCATACATACTACTGGCGTAAACTACAGACAGTATTTAAAATACAAATATTAAACGTTACATTTGTAATGGAAGGATCTCTACTAATAAGTCTTCTATTTTGTTTCTTACTATTTTTTTATATACTACTAAGAAGAAATATTTTGATGATAGGAACTACCTTTTTATACGGAACCATAAATGGTATTTCTATGCTTTCAAACAGCGGATGGCGAACGTAAATCGGCTTGCGGCGTGTGTGGCGCAAGACTTGGTCCAGGTGTAGCGCAAGCGCACTTCCTTCAAGAACTACAGCATCTTTATAGCTTGACAGCACTGCCGAGGGACGTTTCTGCACCTCCCACCCACTTGATGCACCATCAAGACGAAGACGCCCGTTGGGAGGTAATATTCTTAAATTATAATCCCGTTTCAATTACACATTTGATTTCGTTATGATTCCAATAAATTGATTGTCATACTTTGCGATTTAAACCATTAACAAAGCTTTATATCCAGGTAAACTGTAACCTAAAATCGCATATTTAAAATACCATTTAAAAAAAAATACTCAATATTTTAAAAGCGATTGTGACAAATGAACGCTGCATTTTTTTTAATGACAGAGGAGGACAGACCCGCATGGGGTTCGCTTATTGGTAGGTGATAGGCTGGGGCCTATAGCCTTTAAACAAGATGCGCTGTCGACCCACTTTGGCTTTGGATATTTGGAAATCCACAGATTGAAACCGAAGCGCGATTATGCTTCACCACTTTTTCATCTGTGGACGGTGGTTCGTGACCCAGACGGAATGTCTATATTCCTACCACCCATTTAATATCCAGGTTTCCAGACAAAGTCCAGCATGTTTCAAAAATATAAATTGAAAAATTAGAACCATGTAGGACCTGGTGGGGATCGACCCACGACCCATTGCTACCATTAGATCAACGAGCCCTATATTGTTACCGATGAACAAACTTTCTATTAAACCTAGACGTACCAACGGATCCGCGCGAACCGGCAACGGCGCCTAAAGCTGCGCACGCGCAAACGTCATCACACGGTAGAAAGCATGCTCGGGTACGACTTGGAAGACGAAAGGCGCGAAGAGAGACCGCGTGAAACTCGCTCTTACGACGCTGAAGACGAGCCTGTTGATGTGGAAGGGGATTCTCTTGGATGGCCTGACGCAGCTATTAACATAGACGGTATTTATTGTAACAAACAGATAAATATGGGGTTCCCTTGATGGAAGAACCTATACGATAGCGATATATAGCCCACAAATGCTTCTGGATCTCTCACAAAAGTACATATTTAGAAAAGTCAGAAAATTGTCTATTAAAATGTATGTTTGAATCAAATCCACGGCCACACTCTTTACTAAAATATTAGCATTGTCTTCTGGCTTTTAAAATTATTAATTAATGGGTCCGTTTTGTCTTTATTGTATTGTACTAACTGTTCTTAGCAATATAGTCCTGCTGAATATCCAAATCGTCTATTTACTAATATCCTATAATATTTAAACACAACACACTACGGGTAATATATGTCGTTTTTGATGATTACAGATAAGGACCAGCGTGGTGAAAATGAGAAAATACATCTCAATTATTCTGAAGATCTTGAAATATCAAGCACCAATGACGCTATGCAGTCGCCAGAACGCGTAAGGTATCATTCTGGAAAGCAATTTACTTTTAATATATTCAACCCTGTAAAGGATGAACCATGAAGATTGGACATATGCGTAAACGCATAAACGCGTTGATAAACCATAAATATATCTGAAATATCCAACCAATTGGATTATAGGCGAAAATTAGGAACAAAATGTTTGAAAAAAGAATCTCGATGCGAATTTCATATCGTTAATGTACTAACACTTTTATTGCCACGTATAGTAGGTAGCTAAGTGTGATTAGACTTCTTATCAAATTAATTTAAAAACAAAAGGGAATCAACAAAGTACACAATAACCTATTTGAAAGATATCCTATAGCCCCTAAAATTCTTAACCCACAGTTCCGTACCCCGAATGGAGACACCAAAGCCGCTGTCTCTGGAGTGCACAAAGACCGAAGCAGCAGAACGACCATCCGAGGTCACCACTTCGGAATGGGCGAGTGGAGCTCCGCCAGACAACTGGCCAGCTCTGACTGAAGCTTATGCACATGCCCGTCACAAAATCGATGGTGAAATGCCGTCTTCAACTGATACGCGCAACTAATTGTCTAACTTTTGTATGCTTTATCCCTTTGATACGCAACGAGCCTCAACTTACGAACCATTCAAAGAGCATTGGCCAAATCGTACTTGACGACGACGACTTGTGTTATATAACAATAAAACCGTTTTTATTCTTGAGAATGTTAATAATAACTCAAAATAAAACCAGGAAAAATTTTCTTTTTTCCTGGAAAAATAAAAAAAAAATCTTTCAAATACGATATTAATTAATCTGTTTATTTAGAACGTATCGTCAGATTCCGTATATCGACTTTATCGTTAGATAACGTCAATATACAGTGATTATTATTTTTTATATGTATACGTATTTTTGTTATTTGCGTGTAACGGAACAATTTGTCATCGACGTGCTATCTATTACTTGGTTTTCTTTATATTTTCGTATACGGTGGTAATTTATACATCAAAGTAAATCATAAAACCAAACCAATCATAAAACCTTTATGGTTTGTTACTTTTCGCGGAAAATTTTAGTCAGATCCAATACTTATACAAATTTGGCCATTGTTCTTTACGTATGCAATGAAGGTCGCTTTCTTAAAAATCATTCTACAGTTTCCGTATTTCAGTTTTCTAAAATATTAGCTTTGTCTTCCTATTGGCTATTCAAATTATTAATTAATGAAGCAATAATGAAATAGACCATAGACGCCCGCTGAATATCCAACGCAGCTTAGTTTACGCAAGTAGTACACAGTCAAACAAAACACCTTTAACGGTTTTAAACGCGAAATGTATTAGTAAATTAATTTATAATTTTTATAACTACGTCACGACGTTTTAAATGCTTTGCAGCAGCCGTGATCACAGAGAAACTGAAAATGAAAGGTATCCCTAATGTTAAAGTCAAAACAACTACGCTAGCGCCATATGTTTTCGCAGTTGGTATTTAAACTAGCTGGGTCCTCACAGAGCTGACTCTCTCTAGTGTCCTCTCGTTTACCGGTATGCTATTTTATTTAATGTGGGTCCCAAGTGTTTAATATCTTGAGGCTGTCCTACCTCGTCGTGCCCTCATAAAATAAATTGTAAATGAGTAAACTTATATATTTCGCGTTTTAAACCGTTAAAGTGTTTCTCTTAAATATAGAAGAACTGTTAATGAGTATTAAATAAATAAAACTTTATATAAAACTAATAGGCGGCTTACATGAATAGTTAATTGTGTTAATGTCTAGTTGTAAGCCGCGGCTTCTTCCGATTTTGCAGTATATAAAATATTAAACACATTCGTCCAGTTCTTCTGGGCATTAGCGTGTACATACAAACAGAAAAATGTATTTTTGTATTCAGTTAGTCTTTTTATATCGCCTACACATATTTTGTAAGTTTAAATGTAAGGGCACAATAATTTAATTGCATTATAGTATCTTAAATTTTTTTTTTTTTATATATTGACGCGTATTTTATTCATCACAAATACATCGCATACTATTCCGATTCCTTTAAACTTCTAAAGAAACAAATGTTAACCGAATTTCGCCCTAAAATATTTGAAATTTGATGAGTGTTTAGAGTTAAAAACTTAAAATATATCTTTCACATTTAACAATGGTGAAAAGTGCATTTTAATTTCTTGTAATATATAGTGTAACGTTTGTGTTTACATAACAATTACCTACGTACACTTCACTTGTAAATTGCAAACTTTTTATAAAAATTGTAAACTACATTATACTATAATATAGGTAATCTTACATAAGTTTTAAAATGTTATCTCTAACTCTATTTAGGGCCTTGTCCAAATATTTCTCGTCGGGTCAAGTTAGTGGTTATCTGCTTACTAGCTGTTGCAGCGACTTCGTCCGCTAAGAAGTTTTATTTTGATCATCCAAATTAGTTTTTGCAAACCTTCTTATCTTTATAAACTTAAGCTGTTACCCACTACGTCGGTCGCGTCCCTTCCCGCCGTTCTTGCAAGTTAATCTTAACAGATAGACACATCGCGTCCCCGACGTTTTTTTAGATCAATTAAAGACAAATCATTGTCTCATACATATTTTTTACCATTGTATCTTGAACCATTTTTGCAGCGTACGCCTCGTAAACCTAAAATGATAAATATTTTCCCAAATTTGTTCACATTTCCCGCTATATCTTCGCTTGTATCAGTCACAGAGAGATGTTTTATAGCATATAATAGCCTTCCTCGATAAATACTTTAGTAGCTCGATAAATGTTTTAGCCGTAGTTCCGGAGATTAGCACTTTCAAACAAACAAACTCTTTTGCTTTATAGATTAATAAAACCGTTAAATAAAATAATTGACCGTGAAAAACCTTAGGCTTATTAAATAGAAAATTACATATTTTTAAAATTCGTATTAGATCTTAATTTTGTCTTCCGTGTCCTAACTGTATATTGAATAGATATTGTATTTAAATCTATTTAACTAAGCTTTGTGAATATGCACTAGTATCTTAGACTTATACATGTTATATATAATAAAATTTAATTGATGTATGTGTCGAATAACCAAGTTTATAGTTAAATTTAGAAAAACAATCGCAATATGCTTAAGCTAAGCTAAACACAAACAGAACAATTGTTTATTTTGTAAATGAATTGATCCCAATAGTAATTAGTAAAGAGATATCTATCGCAATGTATATATTTTAAAATACGCTTGTTTGTCTTTAATGTTATATTTTCTGCACTACTTAATATGTACTAATATTATTAATGACACTTAGATTATGTACTTGCAATTATTACATTTCTTGTTGTTGTTTACCCTGTATGTAGACAAATTATCGTTTATTATAATAAAAAAATATAGACGTTCTTTATTTTCAGCAGACCCTAGGCAAACACATTGAAATCTCTTGTATAAGCTTTGTGTAAGGTGTACGCTTGTGCTTTTTTTAGTATTGTGTTTTAATCTATTATTACGAATAGTCGTCAAGCCTTATCGTAGCAGTTCCAATTCCAAAACTCAATCTATTTTGTTTAAACAATAACCGACCTGGCAATTTTTTTTGCCATATGAATTATATCGACAAAATTTTATTATCATAAATAAGGTTTTTGAGAGTAAATCTTTAAAGATATACATACACCTTCGCTCAAACTCTTTTAGATTACTTAAAGAAGAATGATTCTTTCGTACATGTTTTTGGATGTCCAAGACTATTTTCAGACGCTTTCAGATAGAATTATTTTTCATAGACAGTCAGAGGTAGCAAACATTTGGGGATTTTTTTTTCATGTAAACAGACGTGCATCGATAATCCGAATCCCCTTAACTTGTATGCAAATGATGTTGCATGCAAGGTACACACTTGGTTTACCATTGTAAAGCAAGCACGTTTGAATAAAAACACAATTGTCAGGAGTTGAAAGTCTTCAAAAATTTTAAAGGTGGTGAAAAAAAACATCTGACTTACAATCATGTCTTTAATAGTGTAATTCTTTTTATAGTACTCATTGTGACATGCGCGACAGTTCTAATACAATAATGAAAAAAACAAAACAAGAAAATTGAAAAACGTAACTTATAGCTTTAGAGACGTTATAGAGTACCCAGTACGGTAAGGTTATAGGGTAAAGTAAGGTTATGTAGTTTACGTGAACGTGTACAAATAGCGATCATGATTCTTGTGTCGCTTCATTTCGCTTCGAAGATTTACAAGTCACAACATCGTCCTAGAACATAAGCCGACGCACGCGCTAGCTTTTATTTTCTTAAACGCTAATACTGATCAAACTAAGCATTTTAATTGGGTTTCAATCGTTCCGCACCCGACTAGAAGTTATTAATCGAGATTACATAAATAGTGAAAGGAATGAAAAAACCTAAATTGTCAATTAGCCTACGTATAATTTGGCATCGTTAGGGGGTATCACTGGCGGGGGGCGGGGTAGGCGGATGTGGACGCCTGCAGGTCTTCTTCATTCTCAGCCAATTCGTTGAGGTGATCCACCAAGTACTTCTTACGCTCGCCGATTACCTGTGAAGCGTAACAGTGATATAAACTCAAACACTTAAAAGGGCTACAGACAATCATGAGATTAACGTGATTGTAAGTGAAATACGCCAGCCACGTAACATCTAAACAAGGTACACTGTCGACCTGCTTTGGCTTCGGATATTCAGAAATCCACAGCTTGAAACGTGATTGAATTTCGCGGCTTTCTTATCTGTGGACGCTGGCTCGTGACGAAGTCTCGGTATGTCTACCACCCATTTGCATATGCATATTTTCAGATGAAGTCCAATATGTTTTAGAAAAAATATTAATCGATTATAAAAACGTTGCACCCGATGGGAATAGAACCCACGGCCCTTGATTATTAGCCATACATTGCTACCATTAACAGCCAAACAGAATTAATTATATTCACTTCTCGCATAATAATTTCTCAAGTCCCTTTGTTACCCGGTTCGCCGCTCCTAGACAATTTCACCGGCGTGACAACGTTTTGCATTGTATTATAATAAACAAAAATTTAAGACACTCGATTATATATTAACAAATGAAACTACCTCAAAATCAATTAGTATAAACCACAATTTCATTAATAAAAACCGTAATAATGAATTTACATAAATGGACAAATTAAAATTTATTTATCTTGACATTTACATAGGGATAGGATGTAAGTCAACGACAAGAGAAGGTAGAAGTCCCACTCCTACACGATTGCTAAAAAGCGTGACCAACGTAAATAATAATAATATAAAAAAACGTCATCAGTGATTTAATTAAAAACTTTATCGGTTTTAAAACGCGATTTTAATAAAAATATTTTCAAATAAGTTTAACTAATATATCGCGTTTTAAAGTTAAGTGTTTTATTAAATGTGAACTACTCCAAAATACGTATTTCATATCAGTGATTTCGAATATTGAGGTCGTTAGCTCTGTATATAATCAACATTTCTTTATTCCGGTATCATCCGTGGCAACAACTCCAATCTATAAAATCATGTATGGTTTGAAATTGAAGTTAGAAAAAATACAGTATACTTAGTCTGTTTATTATTCTGTTTTGGTACTTACCTTTCCAATGTGTTTCGCGTGACTATTCAGTTCCTTCTCCATCATCTTCTTGCGATACTCCAGTTCACTGTTATCTGGTTCTTCCTTTAGTTGTCTTAATATATTCTCGTAATCGTGATATAGTTGAGCGTAGAGTTCCAGAGCCGATTTCGCATCCTGGGACTCGCTGTGTGCTTTGGAGGTCGCGTCATCTCTGTTGGTGGGTACACTGCCAAGGATTTATACTACAGTTAACATAGACGCAAAATAAACTTTCATCAATAAAAAATTTCCAATGAGAACAAAACATTATATAGACATAATTTCCATCACTCAATACGTACTTTATTTTAAAATTATGTAAAAACATATTTCTATCATAATCAAAAAAACACTGGTTTCAACTGGTTCGAACCCACGACCCGTTGTATATTAGTATACTTATGTAAGTAAACGTGGTTCGAGCTAATTTCCCTTTGGAAGTTTTTGTAACCCGCGGGGGGGGGGTTGGCCCGGGGGGGGGGGTCCCCCCCCTTTTTTTTAAAAAAAAAAAAAAAATAACCCCCCAAAGGGGGGGGGGGGGGGGGGGGGGGGGGGGGGGGGGGGGGGGGGGGGTTTTTTTTTTTTGGGGCCCCCCCCTTTTTTTTTTTTTTTTTTTTTTTTTTTTTTTTTTTTTTTTTTTTTTTTTTTTTTTTTTTTTTTAAATTAAAGTTTACAAAGGTACTAACCCAGCCATCGTTGGGTATGTATAATTGCAACGTACAGTCGAGCGAAGAAAGCGCGAGACAAGACCATCGCCCTCTCTATACATGTGAAGAACACGAGTGTACGACATTAAAAGTCTCTTGTAAGACGGCAGACGCACGACGCGATTGCCCAAACGAATCGTGTTTAAGACCAGTTTGTTCTGGGGTGTAATCTGCACATAAAATATACAGCATTTTCAATAAATTTCATTTAAAAAAAGGGCAAATTATTAATTGGTACCATCTTCACATTAAATTAATAATAAAAAACTAAATAACCCTACTTTCGAAGTAATAAATAACACAACACAAAATGAATTATTTGAAAGAAGAGAGTATAACCAAACTCGTCGAATAGAGATCATTTGACGTAGTACTTTTTAAATTATAATTTTCATTAGATTAGAATTGGTACAAATGAGAAATCGCATGAAAATCTTACGTGTGAACGAGAACAATCATGTTATCTCACCTTTGACCGCGACGAGACGTTGTCCAGTCCTGTAACGATAGCAAACATACTAAGTCTAGTTATACCCGTTTTAAACCCAGTAATATTCCCCACCGTTGTGCATAGATCCAACAAGAGACGCTGAAAACCTTACGTAACATAATAGTAATTCTATAACAAAGGCTTTGTCTATTAACAAAAGAGTGATTCACATAAGTCTGGTAGTTTTTGAGATTAAACTTAAACAAACAAACATACACTTAAACTTTGCAATTATTAAAATTGAAGTAGCTATAGACACATCAACTATAGTGTCCATTCACTGGTCCTTTCATTAACAGGCAAGAAGTTGATCAGACTTCTGCGCCCTGCCTGGCCGAAACAATTTTTTGTTTCCCTGGGATTCGGTCCCGGGACTTCTCGAGCTTAACGCAATGCTAGGCAATACGTTTAACCATTTGGCTACAGAGGCGGTCATATAAACTATAGTAATATAGGTGAAAGATATTATTTGTTGTATGTATGCACTTACCCATATGGTGTGCCATGGTTAAGGGGATTCTAGACAACGGCTGCTGCACCTTTATACCGTTCAATACCTGAAATGACACAAAAAAAAAGACATGCTAAAGTTTCAACTGAATTAAAATTTTACTTCAAAAAATAATTTTTTAATGAAATTAATTTATTGCAAAAAATAACTATGATGACAACTATTTCGCGTTAACGAAGTCGCGGGCGCAGCTAGTAATATATGACATTGGAATATCAACCTGTTGAACATTTCAATAGAACACCAACGGTTTCAAACGCAATGTATATTAGTTAAACTTGTTTAAAAAATATTATAATAATTACGGCCCGACTTTTCGGATCCAGTCGTCCCACCGTGACCACCGGCTGCTGCAAAGCATCGCGTTTTAAACCGTTAGTGTTTTATTTGAACGTATACTAATCGCGTAAGCCATAGACAGTATTTAACCTTTTAAATTAAACAATTTAACTGTTTAAAACGCGATATATTAGTTAAACTTATTTGGAAATGATTTTTAACTTCGGCCCGACGTTTCGGATGCTTTGCAGCAGCCGGTGGTCACGGGGAGACGACTGGATCCGAAAAGTCGGGACCGTAATTATAATATTTTTTAAATAAGTACTAATATACGTCGGAACGTCGGGCCGAAGTTAAAAATCATATTTTCCAAATAAGTTTAACTAATATATCGCGTTTAAAACCGTTAAAATGTGTACTACTCGCGTAAACTATAGACAGTATTCAAGTATTTAACCTGTTGAACATTGACGCCGATGTTGTGAGATGGTGCCGTGCTCTTACTCCCGATGAAAGGAATACAGGACATGGGGCCTTTCTCGTAACCATAGCGTTGTCCCGTCTGTTTCATTTGCGAAGCTACAGTTGGCAGCTCGTAATGACGACCTCGGAACTTCAAACGGCGTTGTAACTGCAACAATACACAAATATAAATAATAGCTCAACCCACATTCCCCGCTTTGAGTGGACACATTTGTATACGTTTATTTATGCTACAGGATAAGTGTTTGTACAGACTTGTGCCCCGTCCGGCCGAAAAACTGTTTCTCCGAGGATCGAAGCTCAACGCATTGCTTGGTGTCAATAAAAAACACATTATTGATGAATTGGTAAATTGTTGAATATATTCATTACATTTAAAAATCTTTCGTGCCATAAAAAATTCAACCATTAGGAAATTATTGTAACCCTTAATGCTACTACAGTAAAAATGGATACTTTGACAATATTTTTTTTTTAATTTTTGCCCAGAAAATAATAATACTTACTAATATTATAAATGCGAAAGTAACTCTGTCTGTCTGTCTGTGTGACTGTCTGTTACTCTTTCACGCCAAAAGTACTTAACGGATTTGAATTAAATTTGGTATACAGATGGTCTAGACCCTGAGAAAGGACATAAGTTACTTTTTATTGCGAAAAGGGGGTTGTAAGGGGTTAAAAGGGGGATGAAAGTTTGTATGGAAATTCGTGGTTTTTGAAGCTAGAACAATGATACTTTCTACTTTGGCTTTTTGGATGTAGGAGTGGAAGTGGGAGTAGGGGTGGACGTGGGCGTGGGAGTGTGTTTAGGAATGAGAGTGGGAGTTAGAGTGTTGTGGCAAAGGAGCACTTACCATAGATTGGCTGCCTTAAATGCGCCCTTACATAAATTAATAAACAGCCTCAATAATTAAAAACTCTAACTCTTCTACCCCAATTCACTATTTCACGTGGACGAAGTCGCGGGCACAGCTAGTATGTAATAAAACATTAAGTCTTGTGGGGCCACTAATCAATACTATCCCATATCTAACCTTTCGATTTTCAGACCTCTCCTTTTTAGGGTCGTCTCGTTCTTCTTGTTCAATAGATTCAACTTCGTTTGCCTCTTCAGTTATATTCTTCCTTTGGTTTCATTTCTCCGCGACCTGACGCACCAAATAAAAAAATGAATTAATGAAGAATATATAACATGCTCTTCACTAAACAGAAAGTTAAATCTCATTGGGAACGTCTACATGGCTCATTAAGCACGACAGCTACTGGATTCCAATCCTGGTGTAAAACAAGAAAGTAACACTCGGAAAAAGGACAGTAGTCTAACCTCTTGCCCGAATCGTATATGACCACAAGACAACGACACATCACATCATAAAAAAAACATATCACTAAGCTGATGATGATGATGATGATGGTGGTCATATTAAGTAGACGCATCGGCGGATTCTTCAAGTGTACTTCAAGGAATTAATATCTAGAGGTACAGTATGCTTACGTATGTACATTGATGAAATACTTACATTTTACTTGAATCTATTGTTTTCAAAACTAATTTAATGTGAAATTAAAAACTTGACCGTGATCCGCTCCTAATTAGACGATATTTAAAAATGCAGTTGTGTAAGCGCTGCCACTTTTGTTTGAAATGCTATTTGATCCGCCATTTTCTATTTTACAAATCGTTCCCGTACATAATAGAAAATTAACAAAACGCTCACCAATTTTCTGTTCACAATCCATATTATTCGGCGCAATCCTTTGGTATGGCTGTCGTTGCCACGAGTCCGGCGAAGTACTGTCGCGACTCTTATTAAACAGCTCGACAACAGGTCGTTCTTCACCTTGATGAAGTCCTGAACACAACGGATCGTCTGTGTTAAAACTATGCGAATGTTAAAAATATGACAGACTACCTACATGTTTGACTTCAATTGTGATAATTGTAAGTATCTACCCACATTCAAAACGCAACGTCAAATGTCATTCAATGTTGCCTGTGGCGAATATTACCCATAGGATATTAATAAATATGTTAACTTAAAATAAATGGTTTAAAATATTTTTTTTATGATAAATCAGTGAGTAGCCAATAACGGAAGTTTGATCTACTACCTACTTGCCTGTAAATAAAATCGGCGACAGAGAAGATAAAATTGTCTATAGGTACCAAACCACCATTAAATGGTTAACAATTTGGGTAATGCAAAACATCACTTTTGTAAATTTAGATTAGATTTTTAATTTCTCGAACGCAATAACACGTAAATATTCATGAAAATAATACTTCACTTTGTGATTCGACTATAATTATACTATATTAGCTTGTAAGTATATATACATATGTTTTGTGGACAAAACGTATCGAAATAATAACATCTCGACAAACCTGTACTTTGCGGTACTGTATGACGACGTCCCGGGTTCGGAGATCGATTATTGGTTCCTCGCGTATAATCAGCCATCATGTCATACATTCCATAGTGTTGGTTTGCTGAAAGTCGTTATAATATTAAATATATCAAAAATATACATTAAAATTTGAAAAAAATATATATATTATGTCTATAGTTTACGCGAGTAGTACACATCGAAATTAAACACTAACGGTTTAAAACACGATTTATATTAATTAAAGTTATTTGAAAATTATTATTAACTACGACCCGACGTTACTTGCAGATGCTTTGCAGCAGCCCTGGTCACGGGGTCTGCAGAAATATTATAAATTTATTAGAAATATTTTGGATCCGGTAGGAGTCGAACCGACCCGTTGATTATAATTATCCTACCTATATATAATGAGACCGTAAACAATGGCAGGTTTTATGATTGAAGGAAAAATCGACGGAAATATTAATGAAAGGAAAAATGGTGGGGACGTTTTACTGGAAAATCCGTAGTTTGGAAAATTGGATATTTATAATATGGAATTGAAAAGAAAAACTAAACTAAATTACATGGCGTGAGAGGTGCATGTATCAATAAGATGAAAAAATTCGACGATGAGGTGTAGGACTCGGTAGCTCAATTGTTAGAGCAACAGCACGGAACGCGATTTATTTTCGATTTTTAAAAAACTAAACTACCTCTCTATTATTCACGCCTTGTTTCTTTATTATCCTACTATGTCTTACTTGAAAGGCACTTACGAACATTTTCTTTGGACAACGAGTCTTTATTTCGACGCCGGGCACCAAATAGTTTCTTTTGATCCCTTTCCTTAGCCTTCTTTTTTTTGACGTTTACGTTTCTGTGCAGTATAAAATAGAAAAAAAAATGACAGCGTTTCCACATCAAACCTTATATTCTTAGTGTTAAGGTTGAAATTAAATTCCGCGAGAGGTGCATGCTGAATAGTTTGCACGAGTTGAAAAATTATTTTAGCAATTTGTTGCAGCACGGAACGCCGGTTCAAGTCCTGCCTTTGTCGTAAATATTTTTCAATCAAAACAAATTTTTAATTTTACTCTAATTAGAAACAATCATATACCCCGTGTAATTATCGTAGTATTGACGAGTGTCGTTCGGGATTATGGTGTCCGTGATAACTTCATCATCACCGCAAGCCACCTCCTGCGGTTCCGCTCTGCCAGTTGAAGAATCTACTTCGTATGCTGCCCATACAAAAGAGTTAATCGTTAAGTTATATATTTTTTCGTATTATATTATGGAACTATTTAAATTTTAATTGCATTAAAAACTACCCACACTTTTTAAAGCGAAAGGGTTGTGTAGCCCTTAACAGAAATATCCTTGCATGGCGAAGGCTCAAACCTACGATCCGTCCGTATTTTATCAGAACACTCACCATCACCTTCCGGATGTCCATGTGTTATTGAATGCGGTTTCGGCGATTTTCTTGCTGCATTACTTTTAACCTATAATATTTAATTCGTAAGAATGTCAGTTGAACCACATGGCTTAAGATTAAACGATAAGTAATTCAAATTCTATAAACGAGTCCTTAATAAATTGTAAGTCAGTGTCAAAAAAAAGGTTTTAGATTAAAAAAGTTTCAAGACATGACTTGAACCGGCATACGTTCCGCCCAGCGTCGCGTGCTATAGCTGTAACCAATTGACTTTTTAAACTCTGTAAATTCATTATTAATCGAACTCAATTGGTTACGCACAGAACGCATTAGATGCCGGTTCAAGTCCCGTCCACGTCGTATTTTTTTTTACAATATAAATTAGTTTTTAAGTTTATAAAATGCCAAGATGTAATAACATGTGATGAATATTAAAGTTTAAATAAAACACTTTAACGGTTTAAAACGCGATATATTAGTTAAACTTATTTGAAAATTGTTATATTGAGTAAGAAAAGTAGTAAGTGACGCCGTCTATGATTCTTTCATATAAAAACTTTTTTGATTTGTGTCTATTAAAAATATACAGTTGACAACCGAAAGTGCGTGTATTAATAAAAATGACCTCTGTCTCCCCGTGACCACGGCTGCTGCAGAGCATCCGAAACGTCGGGCCGAAGTTAAAAATAATTTTCAAATAAGTAACTTAATATATCGCGTTTTAAACTGTTAAAGTGTTTTATTTAAATGTGTACTACTCGCGTAAACTATAGATAGTATTTAATATTAAAGTTTTCAAAAGTTGAAGAAGTAATCATTTAGTGGACCCATAGCAAACAGCAGGAATGCATAGTAATCAATGGGTCATGGGTTTGATTTCTACGGGGTGCAACTTCCCTTCCGGGTCGCCACCTCCATTCATAGACTGATGTAAGTGTAAACTGCGATCAGTTTCAGTCCGTGGATTCCCAAATCTCAATAGGCATTTTTTATTTATATAGGCGAACTGACAAGCAAGGGTTGCATTTGATGGTAAATGACCTACCCCTGTTGCGCTGTCGACCTATTTTGGCTTATATAAACGGAAATTCACAGAATTGAAACCGAAACGCGATTAAGCTTCACGGCTTTTTCATTTGTGTCGAAACATCTTATATACCTACCATCTACATATTTAATATCAAACGTTCCAGACGGAGTTCAACATGTAACAGATAAAAAAGCACGTACTTGTGGTTGTCGAAACAATTGACTGTACCCTCGGACTTGTCCTACCATCTGGTGCTGTTCTATTGTCGCTGGATCCAAATAGCCCCTGGTCGGATTCGGAAGCTCAAATCGTCTTAAGGCACCTTGTGACTCTGCAAACATGGCAACCGATAAATTGTGTAAGAATTAGTAGTATTGTTTTCCTGAATTGTAAGCCTATTCGTTACACATTTTTTTTTATTTGCAGTATTTCGCCGTGGACTTCTTAATTGTATTATGTACTCACTCTTTTTTGGCTGCGTCCGTACGCTTATAAAAGGTATGTGTTCTCCAGCCATCGTTTGATCACTGACCCGCGTCATGCTTTAGTTTAAAAATATATTATTTAATTAGAGAAAATTTGTATTGTAAATATATAGTATCTTTAGACAGACCTTAAAAGCAAACATCATACCTACTCGGCTTTAGCAAAAATCAATACTTTTATCTAAATTAGCGTAACTGAAGATCACCTTCTTTTTTTAAGTTTTTTCCTTCTTTTAAAACCTTTCACATTATCAATTTTCTCCTGTAAATCATCACACCTTGCTTGCGCTAAGACAAATTGGTCATCAACTTCGGGTATCGATGCTACGAACACAATAGTTTTTCATAAATGTGAAAAGATTGTAAATATTTACTGGCAGAACTCATATACCAACCCCGAATGTCTAATCTTCTTTCAGACCGCGTTCCTTCTACGGTGCCACCAGCGAGGCTACTAGAGCTCCTATGGCGCTTATCTAAATGTATAAAAAGACCATACAACTGATGTACAAAGAATATCTTTAGAAAGTTCCATCTGACGGTGATAATTTAATACCTTTTGTTATCTTTAATCCGTCGCCCATTTCAACTTAAAATTTTCATCACACACAAAATGACTTCTATCTTAACAATTTGATAAGAAAGTGCGTTTTAATAATTAAATATATAAAATTATGTTAATAATAAAATCACTAAAAAACCATCCCGTCAAACATGTCAAAAAATACTCAATTTTATAACTAGATTCTATTCAGTTGACAGTTTAGTAAAATCTACAACCAAACCAGCGACAATACTGGCCGGTTGATTTTTAAATATTGTTTAAGCATTTGTTTCCAGGATTTGACCATCTTGTTTTATTAATTAATAAAATAAAGAGGGAACAGAAATCTCATCTGACAGTTAAAAATAATTCATGTCTATTTTGATCGAGATATATTTTGCAAGTGTAAAATTAAAGTTACTTAAATAAAATGTAAGCTGGAATACTGTTTATAAAAACGTGCTATTTGGTACTTGAAATAACATACGATTGGCTGATCGGAGTGAACTGCAGATTTTAAATCTTCTATTGAGGTGTATTTATCAAACGATCATATAATAATGTATTGAACATAACAGCACACCTACTAAATCAATTGTTGACAAATAAAAGGCATTATATTTTTCAATTTTTATATTTTAATACAATATACACCTAATTCTATTTACGGACACAAAATAAAAATGGTATAATAGATAAACATTGAATAAAAGGACAAATTCGCGCTTCAGTTAAATCATTATAATTGAATTGATCTCATGTTATTAGCATACAATTACGTTACATTAAATAAAAATATGTACACTTTTCAAGTCGTTCTATTGTAGCTATGGTTAAAACATTCATGGGTCAGATCACAGAAATTTACTGTTTACTTGTGTCTATCGTAGAAATAACGCATTTAATATAAAATACTGTTTCAAATAAAATTCTCCTTATACTTATACAATAGAAAGTTGTCACTTTTAGGAAAATAAACGTTAGTAATAAAGATGGACAGATAAGCGATAACTATATAAAAAATCAATGTTATACAAATACTACCGCGATGTGAATGAAACGATGATAAAGAACGTAACTTCTCACTTTGAAACTTATTTTTAGTTAGTAGCGGCATAGGCTTTGGTTTTCTAAGTGAAGTGCATTTTATCAAACTCGAGGTTACATTTTATTTATTAAATCCCAAAATTAATAATAGTCTTAATACTCTAGAATTTAAAAAATCCCATACAAGAAGTACAAAGAGATGTTAGTAAATGATTTATAAATTATTATAGATATTTAGGTAAACATATATTATAGTTTATTACATCATTAATACAATATATAACATGGTTATATTACTTAAGCAAAAGTTCAAGTAACTTCGAAATAACACGGAAATATGCCACTTTGAATTTTACAACCTAATTCACTTCATATTTCATACAAGATTTTTATTTTATCTCACAGTTGATGTTTTTAAAAGTTATCCCAGATTAACAACGGCAAAAGGTTTTTAGTGTTCCGCGAATATTTGAGATGTGCGTTGAAAGACGTGGCAGTGACTTGAATAGAACCTAAATATAAAATGGGGGACGCAGTTATTTATAATGAATTGAGGCACTTCATACTTATTGTATCGTAGAAAAGCCAAAGAAGTAATAATAACATGGAATGAATTCATTAAATTCAGTCAAAATCAATATTGTAAAATGCTACTATCACACCAAGGTACAAAACGCAGTTTCTAAAACTATATATACTAAAATCTAAATAATTTTAAGTATTCAATTCAAATTGAATAAATGTTGTTGCACATTCAAGATGTGAAATTCAAATTTTGTATGTCTCTTAAAACCGTGATTTAAGTTACAGTGATTTTTTTTGTTCTTTAATAATTTATTTAAACTGAAATTCTCCCATTTTCTTGAAATGTATTATTTATACAAGTAACATGGTACTGTGTCACTGCAAACGTCTTCAAATATTTATAAAACCCAATGACACAGTTTCTGGGCATTCCTCTACTTCAAATTACAGAAAAAAACAATAATTTCCAATTTTCTTACACGCAGTATTATTATATAGATAGTAGAATTCGATAAAAGGAGATGGTACGTAGGGTATTAGGCTTGTTTGGATAGCTTTTTATAAATAGTTTTACATCGCATTAATATAATTCTTTAAAATATCAATTATGGTTTTAAACACTTAATTTTAAATAAATTTGTTTGATTTGGGCTAGAAATGTATAGATCGCAAGGGTTGACCTTAAATGTTTATAAACATGCTTTGATATTTATATAAAAGGTCGAGAAGACTAAGAAAATGTTTAGCAAGAACACCCTGAAAAACCACACAAAGGACAAACTCACTATTATAAGTCGGTGCATATAAGTCAAAGGTATCAAATATGACATATTTCGTTACAAACTAAGCATAGCGAGAGAGACTGAGTTAATATAAATAGATATCAATCAAATAATACTTAAAACATAGCTTCGTTAAATGTTCAAATACTCAGTCCCTCAATATAATACATTTATAATAATAATCCGTTTTCGTAAACCATGGTATTACAATTATACAATAAATAAACTGTTCTTTTTTACTGTGTACCAAGTTGCAAAAAAGCTACTGATGATTTCATTATTGTCAGTCAAATTTTAAAATTCAAATAGTCCGCCCCTTACGACATAACTCATAATGTTTATAATAGCAGAATAAATAATAGATACGACGAAATGGGGACATTACTGAAAATAAATATGCTATACATCTCAAAGGTGAACCATCATACCATATGCTATGACATTGATAAAATGGTTCTAATACAAATGACTTACATTATGAATTACGTTTCTATACGAATGACACGGTATGAAATCGCCTTAGATTAAAAACATTGGGCTATAAGATGTCGCATATAGACCCGCACTGCAATATCCATTACAAAATTTATGGCATTTTCGTCACTCGTAGTATTATAAAAATAAGATGAATATTACAGTTGTACGTTAGAGAAACAAATTGTACCTCGTACGCTCACCAAAGAAATGAATGAGGTAAGATTATGCTTATAACGTGCTCTTACAGCATGACACATTTCCTTCTCTTCACGGGCTCTGGTGGCTCCAGAGCAGCTAAAATCGCTTCATCGAAGACGTTTTTGAGCCCTTTCTGAAATTTAAAATTGTCATTTTTGTTAAAATTTTTTTGTAAAATTGCGGCTGCTATAGCCAGAGTAGCCTAATAACAAAAAAAACAGTAAAGAGGAAAATAAAAATGTGCAATTAACTTAGACAATAATGAATTTATTTCTGTAAGAATTATTTTAACAATTTTCGTTCACTGTCCCCTCGTAGATAAATATAATATTTAGAATATAAATAGGTCAAGACTAAAAATTACACTTAGGCTACTCTATCTCTAGCAGCCTCAATTTACTGCTTCTGTAGCTACAAGCTTAATTCTTGTCTATCATTGCGTTAAGAGTCTGAGATCACGGTTTTGAATAATTGGAAAACAAATAATGCTTCAGTTGGGCAGGGCACAGGAATCTGATCAACGACTAGCTTGTAAATAAAAAACGATTGGTGAAACAAACACAGAAATGTGTTTGCCTCATGTCCCACGGGGGAAAACGGAATTTCACTATTTAAAAAAAATGACATATTAAAATGTATTTTTACCTGAGTAAGAGCAGAGCATTCCACATACTTCACAGCTTTCAATTCTTTTGCGAGCTTTTCTCCTTGTTCCAGGGACACAGGCTTTTGCTTTATCTTCGCCAATTTCTCCATAGTGCCGGGATCATCTCTTAAATCTATTTGCGTACCCACCAAAAGGAACGGTGTCTTCTGTTGATGGTGAGTTATCTCCGGAACCCACTGAATATGAAAGGAACATTATTCACTGTTTCTACAGTATCAAAGGAATCTACAAAAAAATTTAAAACATTACCTTTTCTTTAACATTCTCAAAAGAGCTGGGACTCACAACACTGAAGCAAACAAGAAAAACATCAGTTTGCGGGTAACTCAATGGTCTCAATCTATCATAATCTTCCTGACCTAAAAAAATTACACACTCAAATCAATGACACATACAAAATATACTTATAACGGATAGTTTGTTAGTATAGTGAAATAATTCTAAGCATTAAAAGCAATGTTGATCAAGTATGTATTGACATACTTTTGTAATCTAATCTTCTAACTAAAAAACCAACCTATGTAGACCCTGACTGATCTAAAAAGGTGCATTACCTAGGGAGAATATTATAAAATATCTATATGGCAGCGAGGACTATTTTCAAGGAAAACATACAAGCTTAAGTTCAAAACATAATATATGCTTCTAACTGAAGTCTATATGTTAGTAACAAGCTTACTATGAAAAATACTCACCAGCAGTATCAAAGAGACCAAGAGTGTACGGTTCTCCACCAATCATTACTGTGACGGCATAGTTATCGAAGACAGTGGGTACGTATTCCGATGGGAACTTGTTTGTTGTATAACTGATGAGCAGGCAGGTTTTACCCACAGCTCCATCACCCACTACTACACATTTAATGGTCTGCATTTTTGGGTTCCTTTGTTTCGTATTAAAATGTTTCTAGTTACTTTAGTTCATAGCATTCAAGTCAGAGAGTGTTGCCTGGAAGGAATAATTGATTATAGTTGAACTTCAAAATACATTTAAAGATCCTAACAAAATAACAAGTACAATTTGACAAATACAAACAAAACAGTAGCACTACAACATAATAGAAAGCAATGCAAAACAAAGCCGCCCCAGCGATATTTGTCTTTCCACAATATAAACATGTATGTATATGTAAGTATGTATGACTTTGAACAGATATTGTATGTCAATACAATGTTACAATTACCAAAGAGTTCTTGATTGTATAAAAAGTAAACTTGAAGATACATTCGATATAGCCGTTAATATATTATTGCTATGCATATAATAAGTTTTAATTACAAGAAGTTGTTCAATTTATGTGGTATGATTTGACAGCCTTCTTTGTTCAATAGGAAATATATATGATGGTATTAGTTTTAAAGAACTATGTAATATCAAAATAAGGAAAACTAAAACATTGTTTAGTGAATTATGGATGATGGATTTTGGAAATTCTATGACACGTATTTAGATGAACTTTAATTTTCTAATAGTGCAAATATTTCATGAACTATATTGCCCATGACACAAAATCAGTGGTAGCAAATAACATCTCTAGTAGTAGTAACTTAAAGTAGACCCTACTTTTATTTAGTTGGTAGAAACTGAGGACTAAGTTTTATTTTATTGTATAAACTATTTTTAATATTTTAATGTTGTTGCCTAGCATTTGTTACAGAAAACATATAATTAAAATAGTTATTTAGTTTTACAAAATTTTACTATTCATAAACTGTAATTTTTTTAAATAATGGCTAAGCCCCTATCAGTAGCATAGCTTGGTGGACAGGGGCCTAGTCTACCTAATCCTAAGGCTCAAGAAAGAATCGGGTCCTCATCATCCTCTTTTATGAACTTCCAAAATTATAAATAGCAACAAGAATGTTAAAAAATCCTTTTCTTATATCTGCTTAAAAATAAGGTTAGTGGGGCCCCTAAGTTCCTACACCACCAGGCCCTACAATAGCTACACCACTGGCCCCTATTACAAGGCAACATCAATTTTATTGATGATCTACATATATAGCAGATTAGACATAATGTAGGGATTATATACTAATTGATAAAGCAAAATAATCATAATAAATATGTATGCATTATGATATTAACTTATTTATGTACAATTCTTATGATCTATCAAAGATTGTTAAAACCATTCCATCTATATATTCCATCTATAAATTCTGTAGAAGGAACTTGAAAATTAAAAAAGGCAAAATGCCATCCAAAGAATGACATGTATGATTCGCATAGCAACTCTAAAATTAATAATTACCAAGTACAGCATATACAGTAAAGCATAGCTAAGGAATAAGACAAACTAGCTAACAGAAAGGATAGCTCATTAACAAATAAGCCATTGTAAATGTTTCATGTTAAATGTGTCATACTAATCATTTAGGATAACAAACAAATGTGTCTTGTGTTATCTGCGAAGTAAATGAAATGCATTCTACAAATCTAATCTATTTCAAACTAAAGCTTAACAGGAAATTACCTTAATACTAACCAACATCAAGTAAAGTACTATGTTTTAATAAAATTTTAAGAACTAAAATAATTGTGTTGTTGTATTGATATATTATATAAGCTGGAAAATGAACTCTGAATATTAATTTTTCAAGTGATAAATTGTTAAAATGGTGTTCTCTGTTACTAATAAATAACTGTTAAGGAATAATACATATTCGTTTTAATACAATTTCGTAAATAGTTCGCATTTCTTCTTGGGTGTTGAACATTCCTGTTTCAATAGTAACCTACATGTGTACAAAATGTTCTGTAAAGGTCATTGACCTTACAATTTTAGTATAATGTAATCAGTCGAATAAAGGCACTACATGTTGAACAGAATTTTAACATAGTATGGATAAACTTGTTTGCTGATAAAGCAGACGATGCAAAAGCAACTCTGGCTAACACGCCTTTTTTAGATGACTAGCCGACTTTTTAATGAAAGCATTGAAATACCAATATTTGTTCTTAAGAAACTTTAAAATTTCAGATAATATATATTGTTTTAAACAGCCTGGGTACATCTTAATTTTTACTTAAGAAACCAAGATTAAACATGAAACATTTTTTATATAATCACGTCACATTCCGAGACGTCCATTTTGTGTACCTAATGTCCGCTCACAATGGTGATAATGTTGTCAATTCTTAATATTAGAAATGTGGGTATATGAAATGCACTTACCTATTATATATGTTTGTTAAAAACACTAACGAGTTCCCAGAACAATTATTTTGAACCACCCGCAGTACCTAAATCACTTGTTAAAAATCCAAATTCCTAAGGATAATAGCTCATGAACTCACTGCTTTATTTTCAGTGTTGCAAGTTTATATTTTCCTGCTTATAACTGATCTGTCACAGATGTCATATTAGAGTCACGACTGGATGTAATCAACATCTGTGTATTAAAAACTAAAAGTATTTATACCCTAGTTAATTTTCTTAAAAAATAAAAAAACCTTTAACATAGAAGAAAGAAAATATTTTATAAATAGAAATTTATATGTACAATAATTATAAATATAGATATAGAGATAAGAGGCAGCACCAAGCAATCACATATGACACACCACAGAACCCTTTTTTTTTCGAATACTAAGAAAATGTACTTCGTAATTGGATGTATCCCATTAAAATTGTTTTTAAAGAAGTAATAACAATAACATTGATAAAATTAAAATTTTAGCTATTCTATATATTATGATTTTTTTACCATAGGTTATAATTATTTCTGCAAGCTCAGACTGAACCATAGAGTCAATTACATTGTTTCATCATATTAATGACGTATAAATTTTAAAACTAAATAATAACAATTGAAGTTGAATGTTTAAATTCTTATAATATTTGTGAAAAATTTGTTAAAAGTCAAAATTATTTAATTTATATATTGTAGTTTACTTTTTTTTGAACACCGGATCGTAAACAAGTTATATCAAATTCGCAATGTATTTAGGAGACGAATTTCCCAACTTTTCTGCGAATACCACAGATGGGAAAATAGATTTTCATGAGTGGATAGGGGACCAGTAAGTTTTTTTAGGTTACTGGAAAATTATTCTTATAATCTTTAATACAAGTTAGCCGGCATTCAATACAAGACGTGATTACAGATGGGCAGTATTATTTTCTCATCCCTCGGACTTCACGCCGGTGTGCACCACAGAATTAGCCCGGGTTGTGAAACTTTTGCCAGAATTTTCATCTCGCAATGTTAAAGTAATAGGTATATCCTGCGACTCTGTTTCTTCACATGTTGAATGGTGCAAAGACATAAAGAGTTATGCAGGTAACAAAGCTATCAAGAAATCTAATAATTACATCTTTACTATAATATTATACACAAAAAACATGTTCAGTAAACATTTAGACAAATAGATTTTATTTATTTCTAGGATGTAACGAGGAAGAGAAATTTCCATACCCAATAATAGAAGATGAAGACCGTAGCATTGCCAAAAAGTTAGGAATGTTAGACAAGGATGAATTGGATTCTAAGGGAATGCCGTTGAGTGCACGTGCCGTATTCATTATTGACCCAAATAAGAAGTTTAGATTATCTATACTATATCCTGCAACTACTGGGAGAAACTTTGAGTCAGTATTAAATTCTAATTGTTTAACAACTGATAAATTATTTAAATACTTTGCTTTTGCTTAGTTAATTACTACCTTAGTGGCTGTAGTAAATCAAGTTACTTCTCATTCTACAACCACTGTTAACTACCTGGAAGTTCATTGCATAGTAGTGAAAAGCAGATATAACTGTTTTATGAATGTCACTTTAAAACCTGCACATTTCTTTTATAATCCATGTTATTTCCTGTAGCAAGACGGTCATAACAAGTGAAAAATGCCTTAATTAATATTATTTTTAGATTTCTTATATTCTAAGTATTTTGATATTTTTTTTATATATGTATGCAATTAATTATTTAATTGTGTATATAATGTTATGACTAACCATTTTTATGTTTTAGTGAAATACTGCGTGTGATTGACTCCCTTCAGCTAACTGAGAAGAATAGAGTAGCTACGCCAGTAGATTGGAAGGTGAGATTTTTAAAGATCAATATAGAGTTCTTAGTCTGAGGGGTTCATTGGTGTAGTGGTAGCAATGTACTAATAATCAATCGATCTTGGATTCAATCCCCATTCACAATGTTTCTTTCTTATAAACTTTCTAAAACATGTTGGACCACGTTTAGAATATTGAATGGTAGGTAGGCATATATAAATTCGTGTTACGGACAGTTTCGGTTTCAGTCTGAGGATTTCGGAATATCTAAAGCGAAAATAGGTCAACAACACATGTTGTTTATATGTTGTATGGCTGGGGATTTCTCATTAATAGAACCCCATTTTGTCTGTCGTCCTATATTATTAAAAAAAAAAAGTTTATTTTCCAGCAAATATAATGGTAGGCTTTTTCATGAGCTAACAGCTTATCAAATAACATCACTGAAATTATCTCATCCATAGTAATTAAAATTTAGTTATTTAAATGTTTGTAAAACCAAGGCCAAGCCAGAATCTGCCTCGCGCACTAAGGGATTCTAATGACTAGATAACTCACAACAGTATATCAAGTAAAAGGTGCAAAACAATCGCTTTTTCATGGAAGCCACTCTAGCTTTGATCAAAAGGATTTGAGGCCGTTAGATCCAGAATAGCCTAACTGCAATTTCATGACTTATTTATATTTTTATAGCCCAAAAGTGTAATCTACACGCGAACAGAGACCGAAAATGGTTAACATAATTTTTATACAGATAATAGTACAAATTCATTTTCGCCTAAGTTAATAGCGCATTTTTATTTTCCTCTTTATTGGAAGTCATGTTTTTTGTTATTAGGACACCTTGGTTCTATCTAAGTGAAAAATATTCTATATTGGCGTAAAATAGTATTCTTATTTTTAATGACACATTTTTTATCAATTAAATATTGACGCAGGTGGGTGACGATTGCATGGTGCTCCCAGTTGTTCCTGATGATGAGCTCGAGAAGTTGTTCCCTCAAGGTGTAAATGTGGTCAAGGTGCCGTCTGGAAAATCCTATTTGCGAAAGACTCCTTGTCCCAAAGTGTAGTCTGACCTCTGTCAACTGTCCTCTTATTGACATTTGATATTTTTCCAAAAATTGTTAATAAATGCACTCGTTGCTCACTTTGGCTTTGTTTTATTCAACATTTTAACACAAACAAGCAAATTAAAATGCAGCGATGACTCAGTTCGTCCGGTACCTGTTTTTTAGAAGCGCATTAAGAAACAAATTTCGTAGATCCATTTCGAATCTTTGTTTACCGTTATACGATGTCCACGACCAGTGTCGCTTAAAACCCGTTCGGTTATTACGGCGCAAGGAGATTACCATATCCAAATAAACGGAGTCGTGCGAGATTTTCGTCGCCAAGCGCTGGTTTATAATCTGCGAATTGTAATGAAATTGTCGCAAGAGGCTGTAGTGACAGAGTTGTGTAGTGAAAGCCCTGACTTTCATCGTGGAGGGGGCGAGTTGGTCTAGAGCGAGGCACAACAAAAGTGAAGGTGGTTGTGCGCGCATAGCGAGCGGCGAGTCGGTAACTTGTTAGCGTGATAGGAGGTCGTGTTGCGCCTTTATCGTGATGTCAGGGTGGTGGCTGGTAGTTTTGCTAGCAGCGAACGCTGCGGCGGCGGGAACGCGTCTGCCGCGCACGTCTCTTCCCGGTTCTGCGCCCGCGTCGTCTCCTTCGACGCCCCCGCGTTTGCCCCAAAGAAACTTCACCATTTCCTCGCGCTCTTCTGTCAGAAACAGGTAAGATTATAACACTGCTCCCAAAATACGTATTGTTTTAATATGGACAGTCACAAGGTTCCGTCCTTGGATAGAAAGGCATGAAGTATTGTTAGTTCATGTTTTAGATTCAGAATAGTTCAGTCGCAAAAATAGGTCGATGGCGTATTCTAATTAATTAAATGGGATTTTACTTATTTTTCGCAAAATATACTGCACTGTTTTATAGTCATCTTGGATTCCAGATAATACAATAAACTGTACATTATCAAAAATGCGGCTACTAAGATAATATAACTAGTTGATTAGTTATTTTAAGATTAAGAAACATTTTGTCTTTGTCGTAAAACTAGGCGTCAATTAGTACTATTACCTTTTGTGACCCTCACGTTTGAAGTACAACAAATATTCACACTAACATGTTAATACCGCGGTGGATCATGGATATTTAAATGGTTCCACTATATTATGAATCCCAAAAATAGTATAAATAATTCAATAGAATAAAACCATCTATTATATCCTTGCAAAGCACAATTTATTGCTAATAAGTAAATAAACAGAACGCGACCTATATTCGTGACGTCTTAGTCTTTGGCTATTGCATTTTTTATCTGCGAAAATGTTTTGATTTAATTCGTTACGATAAATTAGTATTTAGTGAACAAAATATTGTTGATTGAAAAAACAGAATCTTATTAATATTTTATTACTTCTGTTTGAGTTAAAAAAGTAGTTTCAGAAGACTCAGAATAGTTTCAGTCAAGCCAAAGTCGTTTAAATTTTTATTGGCAGATTTTGTAATATGCATTAACTATTTTTATTCTTACACTAACGTGTAGACAGAGATAAACAATTTTGTGCACGTCCAGGAATCGAACTTCCAAACTTAAACTTACCGACGAAGGTCAGATAACACGGCACAGTTTAAATGTACTCGTTAATTAGGAATAAAATCAGGATAAAATTATTGTGTTAGTACATGTAGTTGTTACACAAAAAAGGGTTATCCTAATAAAAATCTTATGTATTAGTGAATAATAAAAATATAACTAACTCTAGCATTAACGTAATAAGTATAATAAAGGATAATTGTGAAATAAAATTATATAGAGATTAAGTCTTCTTGGCGTAGAATGTGTAAATAAATAATGAATTGATAAATACAGATTTTGTATTTGGTACTTGAATGTGTACGGTGTGTAACCGTAAGATTACATTGAGAATGTTAATAACTCGTTCTGTAAGATGCAGACAGCTTTAAACTTTTATGAATAAAGTTGTCAAGTACAACGACTACTACATTTCTCTTGAAGTGGTCGACCCAAACACCAACGTCGAATAGGGGACCGTGATTCATAAAATCTAGATTATACTGGCGGGTTTGTTTTCGATTATAACGGGTTTGATTCCCACCAAAAAGGGAGAAATCGGTTTTCACAAACTCACATTTACAAACACCTAGAACTAACAATTTTAAGATGACAATTAAATTGCAATTTGCACGAGTAGTTTTAACCGAATGATACATTGCAGTTTAATTTTCAACACTCAAGGATTTCTGCTTTAAAGAACGATACGAGCAGTACTTGATTTTATATTTTGTCTTTTTAATTAAATTTATATATTATATCAACCCTGTTTCGCGTTGTCTGCGAAATGACTGCAAAAAAAGGCAATAATTTAAATGATCTAATAATGTTTGCGACAATATATGTCTATCCTTTAAGATTAACTTACAAAAACGACGGGGTACGACCGACGTCGTGGGTAACAGCTATCACTACATAGTATAAAATAAAGTTGCTTTGTCTGTCCCTATGTGCGCTTAAGTCGTTAAAACTACGCAACGGATTTTGATGTGTTTTTTTTAATAGGAATGGGATTTAAGAGAAAAGTTTTTATATACAACGTTCACCGTTTTACTGTAGTGTATTTAGTATTAGCATTGCGCCCGAGCAAAGGTACGGCGAGTCGGTAGTAATTTATAAAGCTGTGAATTTTGTTTGCAAAAATAATTAATAGGTATGCTTTAAATGAATTCCACGCGGATGATGTCGCAGGCACAGCTAGTTTAGAACAGTAATTAAAGTATATTTATAGGCATCTCCTTATTTCATTTCATAGCTTCATCTCGTGTGATTTCATTGAAACAAGATTATACGATGAACAGTGAATTTCCGTGCGAGAAATCGGATGCCGCATACCACGCGATTGTTTACCGCTTTCCACAGATACACATAGATTAATTATTCCACACAGATTATGCATATAGATATTTTTAATTCTGTTTGTTATTTTATTCCTTATACGCGCGCCTTTAGATTGGGTAATAACAAAAATTCATGGTCACGCTTACTTCCTTAAGCCGAAAATTGTTTGTACCATTGTTTATAACTACAGCTATATTATGTTTTTTATGCTAGAGGGGGACAGATAAGCATGGGGTAATTCTTACCATCAAGTGGGCAGGCTCTAGAGCCTGAGAATTAGTATAACATCTAAACAAGATGTGCTGTTGGCCTATTTTGGCTTTGGATATAGTTTTGTATTAGTAATGAGTTGATAGATGAGCTATCGTATTATCTCCATAAGTATTATCTGTATTTTATCTATATAAGTATTATCTGTATTTTCCGCGAGTAGGACACATTTAAATAATACACGGTTTAAAACGACACATATAGTAGTTAACTTATGTACAATTTATTTTCCTTAAACCCGAAGTTTCGAATGCTTTTCAGCGGGGCTGATACTATATATTTCGCGTTTTAAACCATTCAAAGTGTTTAATTTAAATCTACGAGAACGATACAAATTCTCAAAGGTAATATTTCAAAACCGTTGATTCTGTATAACCGAGAAACATTATATTTATCTCTCGCCGAAGGTATCCAATGCAATTATCCTCGATTTAGTAAGATACATAGCGCAGTCAAATTGCAAAGCGCGTATTTACTTAAATAGGTTTCGTATTTAACGCGACAACGTCTTATGAAACGACCATTTCGACCCATAATTACTTTTGATTTCCTTTCGAATTTAAGTTAGCTTAACGGATATTTTGTAATTGAATCAAAAATAACGATCGAGCAAGTGCGTTGCGAATTTAATTTGAATTTGGAATTTGATTTGCAGTGTTTGTAAACACTTTATGGTAACCATATGACATGCGTGCAAAGCAAAACGGGGTCACGGTCATTCGTGTTGTTACAATTCCATCTGGCGCTAATCACTGGTGCTAAAACCTATTACGAACAATAGTCAATACTCACTGAACGACCTTATTATTTTCGATATATACAGAGTATATTCAAAGTTGCATCGAACTGTGGTGCAACCAGTGCAAAACTAAAGCTATAAATCGACTGGTTAAATAAAATACTATAACGGTACTGTCTGTAGTTTACGCGAATAGTAGGTACACATTTAAATGAAACACTTTACCGGTTAAAATCGCAATATATTTCCGAAACGTCGCGCCGTAGTTAAACATTATTTTCAAACAAGGTTAACTAATATTAAACGTATTTACAGGCTGTAGTATAAAACTTGTAAATAATGTTATCTAACACATTTCGCGTTTTAAACCGTTATAGTTTTATTTAATTGTGTACTACTCGCGTAAACTACCTATAGACAGGATTTAAAAACACCTTCATTTTGATATAAAACACCGTATTAAAATCTTTCGTTAATATTTTCTTTTCTTAAACTGTTTTCGTAGCGCACTCAACGGGTGAATATTTTCTCAGTCTTTCCACATTATGCACTGTTTATTCTCTCCTATTTCCTGCAGCGTGATGTATATAGCCTAAAGCTCGAACTTCCTTAAAAAAAACTTTGAAATTAAATTGCGCGAGAGGTGCATGTATCAATAGGTTGAAATAATTCGACGACGTCGTGTAGAACTCGGTCGCTCAGTTGCCGGTTCAAGTCCTGCCCGAGTCATAAATTTTTTCAATTTATTTTCGATTTTTAAATTATAATATTAGTATAGATGTTATAAGAACCTTAATAAAACCAGCAGTTATTATACGCTAAAGTTGATATACAATAGACTGAAAAACATTTCCCTATTCTTTGTTTTGCTAAAAAGCTTTTGAAGGGACGCGCTAACAAGGACACCAGAATACACCGAACGCGTGAACCTATGTTGGATATATTGATTTATTTTAAACTATACTGCCGTCTCGTTTCTTCTCGTTTAAATAAATGCTCTGTCCTATTCCGCCTAAATGTCAATGCCAAGTGTTGTTCTACAGGAAGAGTGTCGAATGGTACAATGGCTACGGCTAGCTTGCTCTATTTACTGTTTAAATGTTACAAGGACGGTCCTGTACGAGGATGTGAGGTGTTGATGTACGTGTTGACTCTGGCGGTTTGGTGGCCGCTTATATTACCTTTGTAATAAGACCTCGATAACCTTCACATATTACATTGCAAGGTATATTATGTAACTAGCTGTGTCAGCGACTCCGTCCGCGTGAAATAACTATTCTATTTTTGGCGTCAAATTTGTTTTTGTAAACCTCCTCCTTGTCTTTATAAATTTTAGCTGTTAGCCACGACGTCGGCCGCCTCCCGTCGTATTTACAAGTTAATCCTAAAAGATGGACATATCTTTAGCGGGCAATTTTAAATCAGTTAAAGAGGAATTTTGCATACATATATTTTTGGGTAGCTTGAACCGTCACAGTGTACGCAACGGAAACTCTAAAAGATGAACAATTTTCCCTGTTTGTTCCATGTTTATCACTGTTAACCACAGTAGTTTCTGATTAGCACAAACGAACGAGCAAACTTTTCAGCTTTATAACATTAATATCATTCGTATCTATCTACGCTATATTAACTGTAAGTTGGAATTAAAAAGTGGCATATTATTAAACGAAAAAATTTCCATTACAATCGGTAATAATTCAATGAAAAGCAAATAAAGTGCGACCTTTATCGTTTACCGACTGCCAAATAAGCACACGAATATGAAACAATGTGAAATAAGACGTGTATTATATTACAACTACATAATACATTTATAATAATATTAGCTGACCTGAAACATTATTTCGACGAAATTTGATTCCCATAAAAACGGTTCTTGTAAGTTAATATTAAAAAATAGATGTACGCTACTTTTTTAGGTTATTTAAAGAAGAATAATTCCATTTTACACATTTTTGGATATCTTGAACCGTTTTCGGGGCGCACGCTACGGCAGGCCTCAATGACGAATAATTTTCCCCGCTTTTTCCACTTGTCCCTCTGCTTCTTCGCGCCTATTGGTCGTATGTTGATGTTTTATGCCTTAAAGCCTATCTACTTTTTTATACTCATTAATAACTCTTTTTTAATTACATTTAGAGACAATATAGATCAAATTTTTAAATGTTATATGACTGGTAACTGTTTTATAATTTTAAATTTTGTTAAACAATTTGAACTGTTAACTTTTTCAAAAACATCTATACTAATGTTATAAAGCTGAAGAGTTTGTATGTGTGATCGCGCTAATCTTAGAAACTGCTGGTTTTAAACATCGCGCTGTCGGAAATGTGGAAAAACGGAGAAAATTTTTCATCAGTGTGGGTTTTCATTGCGTGCGCTGCTAAAACGGCTCATGTTTTTTTTTTAATAATCTAAAAAAGTCTGCGATAATATAGGTTTTTATTATAATAAAATATAACGCGAAAGATAATATGAAATGACGTATCTATCGACAGTTATTATAGACTTGCAATATAACACAGATTATACACTGTCCATGCCGGTATTATCTCTAGCTGATATTACGACAGTTGACTGTGCTTAGTGCCTAACTAGAGTACCTGTTGGCAGTCACCGTTCATTTTACGCAATTCAACCCAATTGTAGGGCGGAAGCGTATGGTGGTTGTACAGATACAGTTGCCCATTGAAATATAACCTGTTGCCGGTGGGTGTACTATCTACGTCGTTGCGATAGGATAGTTTACGAAACAAATAAACCGCTATAAAGGTATTACATATCTATCTGCACTTCCTTAATTAGACCTATTTTATCGTCGAATAAGCTTTCGAGAAATATTACCTACGATAATTGTTTTCGAATGTGATATCGTAATTTTTATCTCGTTCGAAATTTTAATTATGTTAATTCGATTCGATTTTGACCAGTGATTTTCGCCTTTTGAAATGGCTTGCAGTGTTTTAGGTTATTTTTACCATAAGTACGAAAATTGATTAATTACTTAATTCCAATTCATAATTAAAAATACTCATTAAACATTAACTAAATGCAGTCATTCCCTATCTGTGTTCTGCGAAATTATTGTTTTATTACTTTTACAATACCGTTCGCGTCTCAACATCTCGAATCGCCAAAGATTATATTGAGACACCGGTCATTTCATAACATCCCATTAATATCGACATAATATTTACAAGTTAAGCTAACTCGAAGTTACGGTTTTACATTGTTGAAACGGCTTCGAAATTTCATAAATTGAGTCTAATGAAAGATTTCGACACGGTTTTAGTGCTTAAAGGACCGACACGAGTTAATTGTCCGAATTGTCTTAATACAAATTTGTTCGGGCATGTGTTGGATCTAGGTCGAGACATCTGATTAATGTTTTGCAATATAATAACGAGTTACTGTTATACAAGATAGTAATAAATAGAAATAGAGATCTGGCTAACGAGCCAGACCTTCCAAAGAGAATTTCATAGATTTACTACCAGTTCTTTTATCGCCAAGTTTCATTCTACAGTTTTCACGTACTTTAAGTGCACTACAATTTTTTTCACGTTAGAGCATGTTCTTCCACGCCGCAAGCATTTTTATAATTTAAATAAAAAGTATCGTTAACAAGGTGTAACACATTGTACTTATATCTTGATCGATAGATGTTTGAGTATAATAAAGTTCGACGGGATTAAATTTCAAAACCGGTAACCTTCAAACATCAGATTATCAAAACTTTTACAATCGTCCATAGAGCGGTTTTAAATAGTGGTCCGTGAAGCAAATTAAGTTGACATTGTATGTACGATTAGACTTACATCGCCTCGTTAACAGTTTATTGAATTTCAAATTATTAATATAGGTTGATGTAATATCGCCAAGCACTAAGATTTTCTTGTATAGAAACAAGTAAATAAGAAATAAAAGCTTTCAAAGGCTGACAATAATTGTTTCTTTTTCGCCTACGTTGTTAAATTGTGTTTTGTGTGAGAGTCCCTGGATTCGATTCGATTCGATTTAATTTAGATGACAATACAATATAATAATCAATAACATTATAAATCCAACATGGCCGCCGATACAAAATGTTATTCAACGTTAATACATTTTTTCCTTAACCCCCTCAATATGGGTATGAAATGAAAGGGCTACCCTAGTAAAAC